TAAGGAAGAAATTCCCTGCCGATGGCAGAGAGTCAAACGCCATTGTTCCCGACCGCGAACCGGCAACGTCACGGCCTGTCTTAGGTCGAGCGGCAACGCAATCCGCGCGGAGGAGGCCGTGATTGCGAGAATATGTAGAACAGTCGAGGAAGGACGAGGGGGAAGGTAGTCGTGATTACGCGTTGTCGCGAGGCTCGATCGGTTCTCATTCGAGGAGCCCAGCGATTCGCGTGGAGCGTGCGGGATTGTCTCATTGTTTCCCGGAGACCCAGTATGACAGTGGGTCAAGGGTTAGGCGATGTTCTTCGGCAAAGAAAGCCGAACGCAACGTCTATCGTTCGTTGGCGAACAGAGAAAGGGAAACCGGGGATCCTAACCAACGCGGAAATAGAACGAGATGGCATGAGAGGGGAAGAGCGAGTGAGCGAGAGGGTGAACGATCGTTTCCGCATCCCCCATTTCGTTTCTCCGGTTGCTCTTCAGGATATTAAATATTAATCCCGCGAAATTACTAGCGCGGCAGCAATCTTTCGCTCTCGTGGCGGGTTCCTTTTTGTTGCCACGGCAATCTCTAACTCGCAGTTGCGGGACTGGCTACGGCACGGTGTGCTCACGTACACGCGTGCAACGCGGCCGTCGCGGCGCGCTAAGCAATGAGAAGTAATCTAGGCGGTGGATTAACCCGGGGCTCAAGATATCAGTCCGGGATTTACCGTAGCTCGACCCGTCGTTACGACTCCCGGCGCAGTTTCCCTGGACCGCCTACGTTCTGTGTCCCCTTTGTATCCCGGCTCGGGGGCGCGTGCGTGATATCACGTTCGATCTCCGCATCCCGCGGGTTCCTCCGTTCGATCGTAAAACTCTCGCGAACCTGCGGGAATCCCCCGGCGTTCACCGCCCCGTTCATCCTCGTCCACGGAACGGCGGCTGGAATTTATTAATTGGCTAACCGCGAAGACGCGCGCTTCCGGATTACAGCTGACTAACGATAATTTCGTTTCGGGCGAATGTTTCGCTGATCTTCCGCCGTCTACTCCCCTCACGTGGCCGGTGCTTTGACCTCGCGAATTAACGGGCCAATTTGTAGAGAAACCTTGGCTGCACCTGTACCCTCGCTGATGGAATTCATTAAGCTCGGACAAGTTTCTTGGGATATTGGGAAACGCAGCTTCGACGCGCGGCTGCTGGCGCCCGACGCCGAGTCTCTTCCACACGGCGATAAGGGATAAGGGACGGATAAGACCAGCAGACGGTTCACGGAAAATGGAACCAGCCAGCGCGACGAGTCTTTTGTCTTTGGTAATTTAGATCAATGCTTCTGGGCATCTAGTGATTTCAGAGTTAATCTCTGCTTTTAATGGCGCTAGGTCATATTCTTGTAAATCCTTTTCCGAACCAAGCATAGTACTTTTTAAATACAGAAATTTTAATGTTCCAATTGCTACAGTGTAGAGGCGATCTGGAAACATTTAAATCTAAAAGCCTTTGCCGTACAAATATTCTTCAGTCACTCACTAGAAAGTTACTCCTACTCGAAACGACATCTTAAAGTCACGATAATACTGAAACCGTCCATCGCGTCATCAAGAATGCGAGTCGAACGTGCTCGAGAGATATCTCGAAGAGAGAATCCCGGCAACGCTTATTCGTCAACGGCATTTATCCCCCGTCCGATCGCATTGATCTCGGTCACGCAAAACGCGACCAGTTTCTATTCTCGTCCGAGCAGAGCGATTCCACGGACACGCGATACGCATTAAACAATCGGATTCGTAGCCGGATGCCGCGATAAATTGGCTGCAAGGAAAAAGGAATCCCCCGATGGGAGTGCGAAAGGAACAGTGGAGAATCCTCGGCGTTGCTCGGGTTGCTGCACTTATTTCGCGAAGTCGGGTGGTCTAGTGTTAGCTGGCCACGTGATTAAGACCCGGACCCGGGACAACCGATAGCAATAAGTTGCTTGATTTGCGAGCGAGTTTGCGGCGACATGCGAGCATATTTGCGCGATTTCATTGCGGATTTAAACAACCGAGGGACACGAGGAGGATGGCTGTGTCTTCCTCGCACGAAACTCGCGACGGCGGCCCTCGATCGTGTTCTTTCCACGCTCGAGTCCCTGTTCCCTATGCGCGATCCGATCCCACGCATTCTAATGAAAGGAAACCCGTTCAGGAAACTTCGGACAGTTACAGATAAGCGAGCGCCTCGAACTGGTCCGGGAGGAAATTTTCGCTATGAAATTATTGCCTCGAACTAATTGTATCTCCATGGGACCAGGTTCGGTTTCAAGATCGCATGCGATGCAATTTAAGATGCGACGGGATCTTCGGGGCTGTTCGAGTTCGAGAGATAATTATTGGCCAGAACTTTCGTGACTTATCTTTTAGCGAAACGTTTTTGGTTTTCGTTGCGAGCGTATCGCAGCGTTCGCGTATTTTTCAGCGAAATATCAAGAAGTTGCATTGAATTGTAATTGAGATTCCTTGAAATATTGGTCTTCTATGTTTAGATGTGTATGTATTTCCGATATCTAAGTATTCTGAAACGACGCGCAGCGATAATGTCAAGGACTTTATTTAGGGACTTAATTTATTGCAGACTGAAGTGGTAGGTACCAGACCGACACGAAAAGGAACATCCTCTCTAGATTCTACTCTTAAATATTACACAGATTCAAGTAGCACATTAGGAGACATTTTATTAGTTCCTTAAGAGATAGAGCTTTCGTAAACAGTTTTATCTACCGCTGATTAATGGCTGGCCGTTACTTTGTAATGTAATATTTTAAAACAGTAACCCGGTTATCGGGTTCCTTAGCTTGCAGGATAGGAAGGACGGCGGGAGGAGCGAGTCGAAAAATTGTTACCTTCCTTTCGACCCAGTTCGCAATCACGCTTCATTTTTATTATCATCTCGAGGCGCCGCGGAGCAACGGAAAATGGACTGCGTTTTATCGAGGCGAAATGAAATCCGCTCTATTTCCTCTCCATAATCGCGCAGCCTGATTGGACAAGATTTATGCAACAATGCCGTACCGATCTGGACTTCGCGTATTAAGTTCCTAGCTCCCCTAATTGGTTCCCTGAAAGCTGCTTGCGGAGAATGTTGAAAAACGATTCCGAGCTACTCGGGTTTAGCATTGTTCCCGATGGGACTGTGCGCTGTATCGCTATCAAAGATTCTCCATGGGACCGACGCAATATACGAAGAATAGATGTACGTACACCTTCGAAGTTCGGTTTCAATTAACGAACCGAGTTTCGTATTTCGCGTTGCAAATTGTTTGTATAAATTAGCCAGCTCTTAGCGCGAGTATACATGCAGGAACGAATTTATTCAAGCAATACAGCAAACAAACGCGACGGAGATTAAATCATTCCGCCACGAAATATTATTATTTCGTTACTTAAACTTCGAAGGAATTCCGTTAATTAATGCGCCAACGCTTATTTTCACAACATTCGCTGTTCCGATCCTTCGTTCTTCGATAACGTCAAACGTGTATTTTACAGCATCGATGGAACGATACGGAGGATTTCGCGATATGGTATTCTGCCTTTGTTTATACTATGGCAAAGGAAATGGACGAAGTAGAGGAAGATAAACGAGTGCACGAATATTTCTAATTTTTCCTTTTATTTCCTGCATTGCTGATTAAACACTTAAATATCCTTCATCTACTTTCGTGTTCGAACCAGATTTTAAAAGGACAAGTACGCCTTATAATTCTTATTATAGAAAAAATTCAGAAGACCTGTTATGAAATAGAATTCTCACACAATGGAGGTAATAAAAAGAAACAATACCATTATGTTCAGTTACAAAACTTCAAAAAACGACACAACAATAAGTACACGTTAATATCTTTGAACGGTCACGTTGAAATGTAAAAAAAGAAAGAGAATTCGAGAGACATACAATTTCTTTCGAATATTACACAGTCAGATGATTCGTCGAACGGTAACGGCGCAAGAATAGCAGCTCGGGGCGTCAGTCATTTCAGAAAATATTGTAATGCGGGTCTTTAGGAACGTCAGATAACAATTTCAATCTTTCGAAATCCAATAACTCGTTATCGGGCCGCTGTAAATGGAAGTAATTCCGTCGCTCTGAAATCCTCGCGAACATCCCATCGGCCGTTTCCTCCTTTCTCACCCCCGCCCGCCGCCGCGTGCCCCCTGCCAGTTACCACTCTCTTCGTCGGCCAGTACGTTTGTCCTCCTCTTTTTTTTCAGCCGGCACGCCGCGCGGGTCGCGCAAAGAAAATCGAGTTTGGTGGAAACGAATGCTTACAAATCCGGTTCTTAACGAACAAAAACTGTCAACGACAGTCTGCGCTGAAATTATTTTCGTCTGCGATGGAGTTCGTTAATGGAGAAACCACCGGGCGGGACACGGAGAAACCGCGCTACGGCTCGCCACCCCTGCACCCCCTCCCCATAACCCTGTATCCCAGTTTTAATTCCATTTTCACGCAAGCCTTAATTGTTTTCTCCCCGTGGCCGGGTCCCGGCCCGTTTCCTTCACCGTCTGTCCACGCGGCGGCCGCCGTTAACGATCGACTGCTGCAGGCGGGGTACGTTTGTCGTTCGGCGCGCTTCGAATCAATTTTATTTACATTTTTACGGGGAAGCACTTTGGCTTATACATTTTAAATCGGCTACGGAGACGCGGCGAACGGACAGCGACAGACGCAGACGAGGAGGGACGATAGGGGAAAACGGACAGAGGGCGGGAGGGGGGTGACGGGACTAGTCGCAGACTCGTTTCTCTTTGCAGATCGTTAGCATATTTCCTTCTTGGGGAATATCGAAGGCATGGCTGGCCGTCGTTGAGATAGCTGCCGGTGAATTGTGTTCCAACGGTAATTCAGTCGTGAATCTTTCGACCGAGCAAGTCGCCGCCGTTTCCAATTACCGGATGGACTTTGATTCGTTGGGACCGAGCCGGGCCGGGCATCGACACGTCGCGTCGCCCCGGCGGAGACGAGAGGGTCGGGATCAATATCGAAATTCTTTTGATTCGCTTTCCGCCCTCAGGAACCTAGGCCTCGGGCTCGGTTCGATGCTGTAAGGCGGCGGATCTTGCGACGAATCTTGCGACGAATTCCGCATCGATGAATAGTGCCTTTTGCGCACGTGTACCAGGGCCATGGAGGAAATGATGATGGTTATCGTCATCGAGATGGCTAGCGTGACGCCGATCACAGTGTGGTACAGTTTACTCTCGGAACGAAGGATTATTGTTGCTTGGGATTCTTCGATGGTCGAACCGATCGTTCCTATTACGCAGGTCCAATTGCCGATGTCGGTGTCAATGTAGACCTCTGGTAACAGAAATTATTTGTTAGGAGCTTAGGTATTTTAGATTGAAGCTTCGGATGCTCGTTTCAGGATATAGATCTCTATAGTATAAAATTCTATTACTGAATGTAATTTTGATGAAACTGATTGATTATTACAAAAATTGTTCCTTGTATGTTCGGGTAATAAACGTTTAATTCTCTCTTTAGATTCTGTCTGCGATTACTTTAAAAGTAAAATATTGACGTAACAGAACTGCTTCTCCATTTCAATACAGAGGAATCGGATTGTTCAAATTTGTTAAATATTATTTGAAACTTCTGCTGCGAATATAACACTGTAAGATAAGGGGCGAACTCTCGAGCGGGATTCGCGAACGATCACGAATGAGCACTCGCCGATGATGCGGTCTCATTTTACTGTACGTTTGTTGCTCGATGATGTCAGTCACGAAACGGCGCGATGAGTTGTTCCGCCACGTGGAAATTCGAGTTTCCAACCAGTTTAGGGGAGACACCGTAGAAGTGACCTCGTACTTTATGCCTCCGCGAAATCGATTTTGTTCGAGCGTGTTCGCGTATATCAAGTGGTCGTTGGTATTCCGGTATGAAGGGAAGAAGTTTCCACCGTCTGCGCGGAGGCGTAGTGACTGAGGACGCCGATGGAGTGGGAGGGGGGGGGGGGGGGGGTGAAGGAGGAGAAAGAGAGGAACGAAATTGGTGATTCTTTGTAAGTGATGTTGCGTTTCGGGAGATAAGAGTCTGCAAATTGGAACCGCTTCGGTATTCGTGCTGCGTGGATCTTGGATACTTTTGCCCCCGTTCTTACTTGTTTCCGTCTGATTTCCGAACAAACGTATGTGCCTTGGAAACTTTTACGGAGAGGAAGCTGGAAAGTCGACGAACGCCTTCGATAAAGGATGGAGAAATCGTAATTATTTACCTTTCCCGATAGATTCTATCCGTTTCCAATATATTTCGATTCTTTGAGTATAGATTCAGGTATCAAATAATTTGACAAATTTTCAAGTAAAAATATTTTCTGGTTCTTAAGAGTATTTAAATAATTTTCTTGTATACCGGTGCACAGTCAATTTCAATATATGTGAATTTCCTTTTTGTTATTGTTGTTTAATTCTATTTGAAGAAATTGTTTATCAATGGTGTTATTTCTTTTTGAAGTTATTGAGACTTCCTCTGCGAAAGTAATAATTATTTATATTTCTATAAGCGACGCTATTTCGTTGTAAATTATGGCGAATATTACGTGCCAGTTTTGTAAAAATACGCTAATTAAGGACGTATCGGTGGGTATTGGCGAACGGTACGTAAATCTCTAATTCCCCATTGTATGTAATGAAATATCAATGCGCCGAGTTCTGGGGTAATACTTTAAAAGCGTTCGGGCGCGCATTAATATTATGTTATGTCAGTTACGATTTTATTTACCGGCCGGTTTTCGACGGAACGCGGTAACGAGAGTGGAACGAACGTTGTATGAATTTCATTGGAAACGTTGAAAGATACTGAGTATGTAAATTTTAAAGGGAAGCCAAACGTCCGGGTTTTTCGCGTATTTTTATTTGTACAGCGCAGCACAGCGCCAGACAGTTACCGCTGTTTAATCATGTATGAACAGCGTAATACATTTATCAGTTTGATTATAAAATTAGTGGCCATATCGCAGTGTACTTCCATTAACAGAAACGAACGTAATTACCAGACTTGCCCAAGATGTATTAATTCGAAAAATTTTAATTTGCATTGGGTATCGTAGAATTCAATAATTATTAAAACATCTATTCTGGAATTTTCAAAATTTCGATCGAAACATGCAACGAGGTCTATGAAAAATTATAAATTCTCATATAAAAAGAAACTTGATGAAAAGGTTGTTCCAAGGACAATAGATATCAGTCGGCAGGGGATTAGTCTCAGCATACATTTCCGTTAGGTCGCGAAATATTTCACTGTCCGTTCTTTAATCGACGCGCGCAACCTTGCTATCTATCAGTCTTGGTTTACTTTAATTGATCGCCGGCCCAACGGTTGGTTTGATCCGGGCAGCCAGTTTTGCATTCCAATTAAGTCGACTTTGTTACATTAGCGGTTACGGTTAGCATACAAGCTGGTGGTACTTACGTGCTATGATTAATTTGCACCAAGTGTAGCTGGTTTGGGTCGTGTATCGATGACTTAGACCATTGTAAATTCCATATCCGTCCGGCCGGATCCACCGGCAGTAATGAACTGCCCTGTCCGTTACATTTGGAAGGATGTTGCAAGATAGAGTTATGGTATCAGCTCTTGCGGCTGTTAATTTCGACTGCGCCGGTATTACATAGCTTTCTAGGAATTTTACAAGTGAAAGGTGTTATCAATAAAATATTATAGTTCCGTGTTATTAATAAAATATTATTATCTATCATTGTAAAGAGCTTTAAGATATTATGACATTTTTCGTGTTCAACGTCGGTTGACGACCAAATTATGATGGACTATTGAATTTTTAACTATCTTGGAGCTACTTTGAAACTATTCTGTATCTATTTTGGAACTATTATGTACCTAACAGTGACGACAGCACATCATTTCATTCAGGAAACGAAAATGATCTTAAAATCACAGAAAATATGACTTGGAAACATTTTCGTTTGTTATAATATGTATCTCTCAAACCTGTGTAATTCTCTTTTGACGGAATAAGACTTCTGTGAGTCTTTACATTGTGAAGCCTCTAGAGATCAAGAATCGAGAGCCTGCGACATCAATCGCAGCCATTTTAACAACGTTATCTTGACTTACCAGCGACATTCACAATGAACGTCTCATGTTCCTCGAATCCATTAACGACGCCCACGTTGCACGTCCATTCACCTTGATCCGTGAAAGTGGCATGGTCGATTTTCGCAGCACAGTCGCCCAAAGGGAGCCCGGCGCCTACATAAGGCAGACTGAAGGGTGTCCGAGGTTCTGACTGCGAGACGGAATAAGCTGTTCCATTGGGACTCCGAAACCAACAATAGCTTAGTACTGCATTCGCGGTGCATTTAATCTGGGCAATGTTAAAACAATGTTCTGACGTGAATTTGCCTTGTTCCCGAAGCGAGGGCCTCCGTTGCTTACTCAAGAGGATCATTCGAATAAATTTCGAACAAACAAGAACGAACTATTCCAACAATACACAGGTTAACTTATTGAGAATGAAGGCTAATTAATATCAAGATAAAGGGTTTTCAAAGTAAGAATCTTTCCGGACAATTATCCTGAATGCAGATATTAATTCCAAAAAAATCCGAATAACCCTCAACTTCGAATTAAAAAATAATTCAAATTACCTCGTACGAATCCCCTTGCCTCGCGTACACGTTATTCACCGTGATGTTCATGTGCATAGGTACACTTTCTGGTCTATACTTATCCGATGGGTCTGAAGTGAGATCGATCACAGTACCATAGTATTTCTCTTTCCTGGTTCTTATCCCGCATTTCCAGAACCCGTAGTCTTCCGACCGTAGCGAACGAATAATCAAGCCGCAGTAAAGATGATTCTCTTCCATTTCCGTGTATGAAACCATAGAAGCCTGATAACTGTCGTGAAACAAAGGTAAAACGATTAGAGAACCATCCTGCGACTCATCGGTGGAACGAAGTCCCATTGCATCCCGGTTCGCGTGATTACGAGGGCAAAAAAAAAGGGGATCGGATGATCCATTGGAAGCGTGGACCAATTTCGCAGGGCTGCTCTGATTTACGGGTCAGATCAGCGGCGTTGCGCGCCGCTGGCGCGTCGTATCCATAATTATCGACGTATTGTAAAGCACTTAGCGTTTATGACTACACCGGAGTGCATAGCCATTCGAATTTTTAAAAGCCAGAAACACTCGTGTACAGCCGTTTGTTTCGGTAAATAATAGTGCGTACGGCGATAAATAAACGGGATGAAGAAGGGAAAGAGGGGCAATGGAGGTCTGCTGACCGTGGCGTATACGTAATATGTATAACGGCGCGCCATTGTACGACGGGGCAGCCGTGGCGCCCTAGTGAAAAAAGAAATACACCCTCGAAATGGGAAATGGTAAATATGTACGAACGAACGGACGAACGAACGGGGAAAAAAGCCGAAGAAAAACAGCTCAACGCGGACGAGAAAGCAGAGAAACGAAGCAATGCTTGTTGTAATAAACGCGATGACGTTCAGCGCGCGTTTAAAAAAGCTCGCGTCCCCATGACCGATATGTTTCGTTTCGTCCCGTTTTTACATAAATTATTTTCCTCTTTGCAAGTCAGCTCGTCGGAAACGAAAATAAGCGGGATTTTATTGGACGCGTGCGTACCACGCCGGAGGAAAAGTTGGCGAAGTTTATCGGTGCGCGAAGAAAACATCGTTAATTAAACGTCACTTCGACGCGGGTTCGCGTTTCAAACAAAATGGCGGCGGCGGCGGCGGCGGCGGCGGCGGCGGCGGCGGCGCGTATGCTAATGGAGTTGTGCATTGTTGCTGCCAATAATATTGTTTTTCTTCTTTTCATTGAGACCGACCTAAATTTATACTGTCATTCGTTCACCGAACTGTCACACTTTCCTCGCGTACGACTGTTGAATTAAAAATTGTTAAGGTCTACGTACTAGGCGTCCCCGATGCCGGGGGACAGGTTCAATACGTGTCCGTCTGGCCTGGTGAAGTGACAGAATTTAAACGTTTGCGGCTCGCTGATGTAAACGTGACAGAGGAGTTGGATTTCATTATGCTCTGTCAAAGTAACGTTGCTGTCGATATCTTGCGACGCTGAAAGCAAAATCGACGTAGCTTAAATCGGTAATCGAAGTTCGGTTTTCCTAGTAAGTGGAGGTTCTATGATCCTTTCTGACTTACGTAACCTTTTGCATTTGCTTGTGTGTTACTGACAGTGTGGTGGAGTTTCTTAATTAATGTCAACATTTCTTGTGACTCATCGTTTTGGAAACATTGCCGTTTGATGTATATGTATTGTTCAGTCTATCGACTTACCATAAGTGACGACTCTGAACGTCGTAAACGTAGGGCGTATCATTCCTACCGTGCTATATACTGCAGTCCAGGTGCCTTCGTGGCGAATCGTGACCACAGGAATCTTGTACTCGCACGAGTTGAAAATTAAAGGTGTCTGCACACCATCTGGACCTCTCAATTCGCAAGAGATAACCTCAGAATGGACTGGATTCAGTATTCCTTCCGCGCCACGTTTCAGAGAGGTAACATTCTGTCACCGAAAACAAATTGTGAATTAAAACGTACAAAAATCGTATTCTGTTCAAGCATCGACGACACAATCATTTACGTTTTGAACGAACACTTTTGAGTAATCTCAAGGACGTAAGTACTTAAGAAAAAGGGAACAATAACGCGGTAAGTCTTTCGATTAAACGACAACGTAACGCAACAGGGAGAAAAAGATGGAACGATCCAGCGATCATTGTTCCTTTAACGTTCTTAAAAAAATAGACAGAAAACTGACGGCATGATTTACCCGAGCACGGGATCGACGTGACATCGGTAATCGATATTTCTCGAATGCCTATAATCTTCAGTTAACTCGATGCGGTATTTGCCGAGACCAAATAGAGCAGACATCGATACGCGGGAGAGGCGGCGGTGGCGGTGCAGTTACCGAAACCGAGATTAACATTGTCCGGTACGTCTGATGATAATTATGCGGTGAGTAATTTACTTGGCCAGCTGCCTTCATATCCTAAACTTATTACGCCATCGGCCCAGAAATTCCGATACCCGCGTTACGCGACCAACATGCGAGGAATATTTTTCCCTCCCTCTGTTCGTCCCCGTGGCAGTGGGACAGCGGAAAGTTGCCAGCGATGCGATGAACACCGAGGAATTCCATTAAAGATGATCGGTTTTGAGCTGAATTTTATTGAGGGGATCCTGATGAATCCCACTGGGCCAAGTGGTTGCGATCCACACCCGCAATTGATAATTTATCCGCTTTCGTTTCGAGCAACCCGCAACGAGAGCGATGATCCGCGAGCAGCAGAATGAGGGAGAACGGTAATTAGCAACCGACAACGCGGGAAATATTGGAAATATTGATCGGATCTTGGTAACCGGCTAGTTTGTGGTCAAGTTCATCGCGCGAGCCGCTTCGTTGCTGCGATCCGCAGGGACGCGACTATCGTGCGCGCGATCTTATCGCGTTGGAAATAATCGCCATTGCCGCCGCGCTTGTAACGAACGGTTCTGAGGGTCCGGATAAAAAGCAAAAAATAATAATAGCCTTTAGGTCGGGAGGATCGCTGATGCGCGATAGTCGCTTTGACGGTGGACGACGATCATCCGTATCCCTAATAGGAACTTTAATTTCAGTTTTCGGAATTAGAGTACACCGATTCCCCTGTTTCGCATTTTCGCTAGAGGCGGTTGAAAGTTTCCACGGTGAAAAGGGAACTCTGATTAAAAGCGGCTTTTATGTTGTTCTCTTCCGTCGAAGAAAAGTCATGAAATCCAGCTATTTTTTATGCTTTCAAATGAAAGTCCGTTTGTTAAAGGTATTATATTTTCCCGTTTGAAGGCAGAGAAATATACTGCCTTTAACAATGCGTGCTTTGTATTATTAAGTTATTTTATATATTAATATACCCCTAATCTTTTAGCGAGTGCGTAGTTGATAGCGTTCCTTCTTCGTTTCAGAGATTAATTTTGAGTGTTGATTTGAAGTTTGATTTTTTCATTGTGAAGAAGTACGAATTGTTTATAGATCGATATGTAATCGCAGTTAATATCTTTATGTTCGACGTATATATAAAATCTTTGATGTTTCGATTAAGGGATGGTCGAATGGAAATTCTGCCTTTTTGCTTATTGTTTCCGATTGCAAGCGTTCGAAAGCTTTCCGGATAGCCGCACACGAGTGCGGAGCGCTTCACCGTGACTGTTTGCTCTTGATAAAAAGATAAACGATCCATCGTCTTCTCCCTATTCCGATTTCCTCCGGTGACTACCGAGCTCGGTCTCGGTGACTACTGGCCCGGTCTCGGTGACGTCCGAGTTTTCGACTGACAGGTTTAGTTTCTCTGTCCGGGGCTACGGTAGATTAAGTGATTCAATTCTCGACGCTCGATCCGCCGAGAGAGACTCACCATTTCATCGGGTCTCGCTGGTTTCTCGTGCACATAAATGTTCACCTCGTCCCTGAGCACCCTGTTGTCGTTGACGATCGCTGTCAAAGCCCAGTTTCCGGAGTCGCTCTGATTCAACAATCCGCGAAATCCACAGCCTCCGAATAGCTCCATGTCCTTTCTCTTCACGGTTAGCATATTCATTTCTGTCTTCTGAAATTTTCATGTTTGTTTCATTCGAGATTGTTCAGTCGATATCAGTTATAATGATAGAATCGTTTTATATTATAGTTACCGCAATTACTGAAACAGAATTATTGCAAAACTCTATTAAACCTTTTGATCCGTTAATGATAATTAGATTACGGGTATTATGTGTTAATAGTATCTTCAGTTCAATTAATCTAGTGTAAGAAACTGATTAAGACAGTTTGCGTATTTATGTTGAAAGGAACAGCCATTACTTTGATTACAAATCGCAACAGTGTATTCAGTTTTACGGAGCAAAGCAAGGCGATGAGGATAGCCTCCATAGCGGCCACTTGAATATTATGATTATACCTTCCAGGTATCACGTAGGCTTTTGAAGTAATCCTGTTTACTATAGCGAACAAATTTACACGTGCTTGAACGATAATTCGGAATTACGATGTCAGTCACGTTCACCCGGCAAAGTTAAGTAACAGTATTTGCTACGCTGTTAATGAACAGCATACTGTAGCCAAATGGATTCAAGTTACATTGTAATACTGACGTTAGTTGCCGTTCACTTATACTGTATCCGAGATTTTAGACTACATTATAACGACGCGCGTGCCTTTATATAACAGCGACTCATTGAATTCTGCAGAACGGCCTTAAATACGTAACTCCTGCCTTCTTCTAACTACATCGAAACTAAATTTCTTCGATTCTTGGTGTACATTGAATAAATAAATTCATTATCCCACAATTGCAATGAATTTATGCCGAGCGCAGTAAAACTTGAATTATCAGATGGATCAAAGTGAACCGTTTGTAATTTCTTAAAAACAGATAATACTCTGAACAATTGATACAGCATCTTGTTTCTGAAGTTTTAATAAAATCTGTCTAATACTGTTGTCCAAAATTGTTTAAATACATTAAAATCCACTTTCAATACATTTATAATTTCTTAAAAACAGATAATACTCTGAACAATTGAAACTGCAGCATCTTGTTTCTTAAGTTTTCGTAGAATTTGTCTAATATTCTTGTCTAACGTTGTTTGAATACATTAAAAATTAGAATACAAAGGAAGTAACGTACATTCGGCATGGTGAGTATGCAGTTCGTCAGATTAGTCAGGTCAGCGTTGATCTTCACATGAACATGGTATCCTTCGACAACGTGAATCTGCTTTCCGGTTGCCGCCTTAACCAGCTAAAAAAAGGGAAGAACAGTTCAAGATGGGGGACGGAAGCAACGGGGAACGGTGGCGGGCTAACCAGTGCATCGCGAGGCAAAAGGGAAAAAGGATTGGGTCCCAGGGACGCCATATATTTGCAGTTCCGCCGTGGTTGCACTGCCTCAACTCCGGACAAAGCGCCCACTGTATTCTCGCGGGGTTCGCGCGGTAAAATGTTATGTCTGCCGTTACATTCAACTACCGCGGCAATAAATGCATTAAAACGTCCTTGCTGCCACAGGACTCTTTCCACTACGAATGGCTCGCGCGTGGGATGACAATACGTGCATCCTTCGCGATCGTCCTGCGAACCTCGTTCTCAGCACTGAGAACGAACCGACAGCGAACTGGCCGATCCCTTCACCGCGATTGGTCTAATCATTTACGACAGTCTCTAGCACGATAATTTAAAGTTCTGTAAAACTTAAGTTAATACCTTCACGGGATTAAAGTTTCTTCTATTCAAGCGTTAACGTAACTTTTACATGTTCGGGATGGTCAATGTTTCGCTGATAAGATATAGAATTTTGTGATAAAACGCGAAATCGCATTGACACAACAATAGTAATCGGGTCTGATTTTTAAATAAGAGAAAAATAAAGAATTGTGCATTTTTTATAATTCAGTTAATTTCAGTTTATGTAATTGAAAGGGTGAAACATACCTCCTTCATGTATACTTTGAACGTTTTAGAAATAGCTGTATGATTCCAATGCGCCGTTATCGTCCAATTGCCAGTGTCTTTTGTTTCTTTAGAATCAATTGTCACAGAACAGATTTCTTTCTCCGAGGAGGATGCAATACGATCGTCGATATCTTTATTCGAAGCATTGTACGGATATTTCTTTTTAATATTCGTTTCGGAATCGCAGGAAGTCGCTGTTCCATTCACCATCAAATCAATGCTCACTGCCTGATCTGCGGCAACTTGCTCATATTCTGAAACAACGACATCAGAATTGAAGCAAACTTCAACCTCGTTTGAATCCTTTTCAATTCAAACGATACATCTCTATATGAATAATTAATTCGAATAACACCGTAAATAATTTCGAATGATTATCCACTGTAACATCTCGTAGAAATAACAACACTATCAAATATCCGTTCGTTGCTAACTATAATTTCATTGTAGAATCTTGTTCCTTATTCTTCATCTACTTTCATTCGACACTGATTCGAAGCACTGTCACTGAGGAGTTCAGACGTTCGGAGCACTTTTCGAGGGAAGCTACGTACCGAGAACACGGCACTCATTTTCCGACAGGATTTAGTTGTTGCACATCGAAAGATGAGCGCGATGAATCCCGGCCGAAGCGGAAAGTGAAGGGAGCGGAGGCTGCAGGGTTTCGAGTGGCAAGGGGATGAAGGGAGGATCGCCACGTTCCGACAGAGAAAGGGTGGTCCCGGGGAAGAACCATAAATCTGCTGATTTACCGGTAACGCCGCTGGCGGATTGCACGCTGACCAGGAGACTCACGAAAATAATGAACCATGTCATATCGCCGGTACCCGCGGTGTCTTTGAAACAACGTTCGACCGAACGATTACTTTTATATCGTGACAACGGATATCGACGTCGAATTCGCGCAACGCTTTTCCAATGGTTTCGCGACGTAACATCTGCCCAGTCACTCCGCGAAATGAACATTCCGCTTCAACCAATAAGGGGACACGAAAGTATCTCCAGGTTCGTGAACAATTTCAAGCGGCGATTTGAAAGTAAACGAGCGGCGCGTGATTATCAAATGCAAGATTACGATCGCGACAATCGGACGAGACATCGACGTCTCTTCCCGAATTGATATTGCACGGAATTGATGCATGATAGCACGATTCACATCTGAATGCCTTATCGAAGATATTGTGAGGATTATCGTAATGTCGGCGCGTTTACTTCGAGATACATTGGATCTTTTATCACAGTTGTATGGATAGATCGCGTGGGAATAAGATACGCAATCTTTGACAAGATTGTTTACACAGCAGAAGTGTTTATTGTTGTGAAAGTGTAATTTTTGGATTTGTTGAAAATTTGAACACCGTGTTTTCTATTTGCTCCGTATACTGATAATTCTTTGTGTCCTTATTTCTTTTGTTCAATTTTTATCTATCTAAGTGGTGTGAAGTCTAACCGACGAAAAAGTAAAATCTGGGGTGGATAATAATAATTTTTAAAAAGTAAAAAAGGGGTGGATAATAGTAATTTTCTAATTCTCTTTTACCATTTTTGAATATTCGCGATATGACTACTTCTAAGTAGAAAGATTAGATGATCCCATTCTCTTCTTTGGAGAACCTATCTCTCGATTCATCGAAAAAGATGGGTAATAAAAATTCCTAACATAAGTACTTCGAAAACATCGTAAAGGTGATACGATTTCTTGTTACACAATTTCATGCGTTTGTTGCGTACTTGATATCGATCACACGTAATCGTCTTTTGTATTAACCGTTTGACTGCTGAGGAGCGCTATCGCGCTCCTCTTATGTTTTACCAAAATTGCGAAGAGCGCGATAGTGCTCCTTTTTTGTTATGCCAAGACTGCGTAGAGCGCAATAACGCTGCTCTGAATCAGTAAAGATTGTGCGTCCAGTAAAGCTGGTTCCATTTGCGGAGCATACATATGTTACATGTATGTTTGTTGTCGCAATGCAATATAAGTAAGTTTATTGTATGAAAAGTGTTTTCCACTTTTTCCCCATACACGCGCAATTAGTGCCGCAGTTTTGGCATATGTCCGAAAAGATCTGTCAGCAGCCAAACGGTTAATCGATACGTCGCGATGGGATTTCTTACTTCGCGTCAAACATTATGTTTCTCGTGTTGTGGCGTGGTAATTGTCTGGCATCTTGAAAATACTCTTGTTCGCCTGTATCTAATGATAAAATCGAATATAAATCATACGGATTAAGCAATACTTCATCAATCAGTCAATAATCTTAATACTCTCTTCCGCGCCAGTTCTTCAGCAAATTAAAACGATTATCATCACTTCAACATCTTTTACGTCAAACAGCCCATGTATCTAATCTTCAGTTATTTTTCCATTGCAAAATCTCCACAAAAGCTTTCCCAAACGGAAACTGAAATACCCCCCAAAAAAGTTGAAAAGTAGACATCGAACTCTGCTATCAGGTACCCAAGGGACATCCCAGAAACCTCGAAAGCTCCGGCACAATAACTTTAATCCCGCGTTCGTTCGCTCTAACACCCCGGCGAACTTCGTAACCGGCGTCATTGTACGTGCCCAACGATTAGACAACGGTCTAGAAAACTCGTTTCGATCGGTGGTCTCGCAATAAATATCATCCAAACACAACTACGGGCCATCCTCTTCGCGTGAATGGAAGCGGCGAGGCTCGCCGGCGCGTTAACGGCGATCCCGATTCCTCTCCGGATGCAGCGCTCGCGCGCGCGCTGGTTCGCAGATCCTAACGGAAATCTGGTGTCCCTTTGGAAATCGCGACGGCCGGGAAAATCCTCGAAATCATTTCCCCCCCGTTCAATACGCGGGGAAGGCCCGCGCGCGCACAGAGGGAAGAAGTAACCGGATTATCGACGGTGTAAGAGGTGTATCCAGGGGTGGGCGCGGCGGGCGGAGGCCGTTCACCGTATCGAAAACGGTTCCCGCGTTCTTGTGAAGTCGGAAAAGCCCATTTCGATGTCCCTTGTGCCATCAGGCAATCCCATTTGAGATTAGACGCAGGCGTGAATTGTGTTACCTCCGAGTTTGAGCGGATCAAAGGCAAATTCCCGGTTGGGACGCATACGTACGTAATTGATATGCCTGATGGGGGTTTCCAAGTCGGATAGTCAATTACCATAATCTTGTTGTGGGGAAAGGGCAGTGTATGTCCGTGCCGATTCCATACACCACGCTTGTATACATTGTTGACAGGCTGTGTGGGTGGGGGGTGAGGACATCAATTGAATTTCGCGGAACGAAAGAAACCGCGGCCCGTGCCCGCGTCCTCTTGACCGGCTTTATTAGATTCCTCCGGCACCGTGTATCAGGGACTCCTTTCCCTTTCAATTAGCGGACAGGGCGGGCTGGTATTAATGAAGACGGCTACCCTCCGTGATTGCGTGGCTCTCGCGAGGGTCATTTTATATTAAACGAGTATAACCGGGTTACATCGGTCGCCGTGATTCTTCGGAATCCGGGTGTCGTTTAATTCCCCGTTAAATTGTCGGATTTCGAAGTTCCGCTGGATCCTCGCATGATTGTGGATTAGCGGGCGGGGCACGTGACGCGTGAACGTGTGCACGTGCTTCGGTCGAAGTGTTTAGGCTCCGGTTGTATCAGTTTGCTGGAACGCTCGAGATTCCTCGATTTTTATCGGCCCTTAACGAGCGGCTATCGTGTTAGCTGTCCGGTCGCCTGTTATTTGAAATTGCCGATTATCCGTGGATTTCGAGAACGCTTTTGTTTTCTTTTTTTTCAGTGATTTTGAAAGAGTATTTTGTAATGTCTTTTAAGTAGATTCATCGATGAAACGATAAACACTTTATGAGTATCTGTAATTGAATGAAATAAGGAAGGAGGAAGGTAATTGTGGACGTATTATACAATAAAGTGTCTACGTGATCATCGAACTTGAATGTCGGACCAAAGTTGATCCCGGAAACCTCGGGAACGTTAAGTAATCGCAACGAACGTGGATTATCTAAATCCCCTGACAAATCGAGTGCCGTTTGATAGGTCCACTATTCTAATTCGGCGTACACGCACGTCGGTCCAAGTGAATTTATCGAAAAGCGATTCTCTCCCGTTCGCGGTTGTAAATATCTTCGGCGCGACACTTATAGCCTGCCGCTTACGGTGAAAATTGTTTAAATGTGTCCATCCGTGTGCGACTGCAGCGTGCCTCACTGCGGAATTTAGTTGCTTCTAGAAGCCATCGGGGATAATTTAATGGCGACCGGCAATAACTTAGAACTTTAGTTGTTTAGAGTGTTCTAACTCGATTGATCAACTGAAAATCGTCTACACTAATTGGGAAAACAAAATAATAATTGAAAAATTCAAGTACTCATTTAAAAGTTTAACTATTTTGAAGGTTCGTGAACTTTTTTTTTTGTTTAAGGCATTTATGGCTAAACGAGGGAATATTTGTTTGGACGTTAACGAGAACAAGACACTGTGTGGATAACATTTTCTTTGGGTTGGCCTAGAATAAGCTTCACTAATATAGGTCATTGTGTTATCTTTTCTAAAGTGTCATTGCTATGTAAGCAGGGGGGTATATGCTTCCGATGAAATCGATAAAAGGGACCTTGAAGCGTGTGGAATGACCTCGAGCGTAGATTGTTTACATACATCCATTAAATATGCCTCCATTCTTCGTCCGGTGGAAACCTAATTGGTCCATTCCGTTGTAGACACAAACGCCAGTTGTTTTTACAATAAATACACTGACAATGTGCATGAAAATATGGTAATTCCATTCTGTTTGTGCAAGCGGAGCGTAATTTTAGATCTCCATCAAATCAAATGTTTACATTGCACCAAATACATTTCCTATCGCAATGTGTGCCTACACTGTTTAATGAAAAATTCTTCAGAATTATTCACAATATCTCTTGCATTAAAGCAATATGAATTTCGTCCAATTAAAATTATTTGTCTGTTATTACTTTTATCATTGAAATTTAAATGCAGAGAAATTTTATGCAGAGAACTCGTACGAAGTGAAACTGACCAGTAAACTAGGTTTCCAAATTCGTACTTCACATACAAAGTGTTGCAACGAAGTTACAATATACATCACCGTTAACTAAATAGTTCTACATGTATTTAACCTACATTCAGTAGGTATGTAATATATTTATGGTATTACTACAATAAGTATGTCTAATAATAATCCTCATCCAAAGACCAACCGACATTTCTATCTTTTTAAAAGCAAGCGATCTGTTAAAATCGTACACCGTATAGTATTCACCTCTTCATGTTCGCTAGATATCTCTAAGACATCCGCGAGCAGTAATCCCTTTCCCTGAGGAGGAGTGTCGCCATTGCTCATCGTAGATGAGTAATCGCTTAAGTAGCTCCCAATGAAATAACTTTTTTAAATGGAGCAGCTACTTGAGCGTGTGTACCTGCTCGAAGACGCGGCCCCGCTCCGTGCTCCTTGCCTATGCCAGCCCGATTAGCCGCGTTAAATACGGCCGGCCATTTATCAGAGGGCACATAATAGAGACGTTACTTTCGCGCCATATGCTGTCTCCATACAATAAGCAGCCGCGCAGTTAAATGGCCATGGCGCGCAATATGTTCCGAAACGCGACAAATAGTCAGGAAAACGGCTTGCGGAGTACACAGTTTATATTTACAATGGGACAATGCATTTTTGCCGGGTGAAAAGGGAGGGGTGAGCCCGCCAGTTGCGGCCGCAGCACAGAATGGACACGCTTCGGCGTGTCTATGATCCCGGAGACGGGATTTCGCGCGTCCACCCTGTGACGTTAACGACCCGTGAAGATGGGCTGGTTAAGAGCTGAT